TTACTTACTAATACAAAACAATGGTTTGGGAAAGCCAGAATGATGAAACTATCAATCTGGACCGTGCCAAAGTCTGTGTTTCATCATACTTTTGGCCTACGCTGATAACTCACAAGGAACAAAGGACTTAGATGCGTCATGAGGGACTGGATTGAACAATGGAGTCAAAGATTTCAGAGACGTCATGTGAGATCAAAAAGGCAGGCTCAGTATGGGAATGATTCAATGAGATAAAAAGGAAGTCATATTTAAGTCACATTTTGGGGCGCAGTGGTTAGTGTGCGTGCCCCATTTATGGAGGCCATGGTCCACCAAGCAGCAGCCCAGCCTTGGCTCCTTTCACGCATGTTATTCCCTACTCTCTCTCTCCCATCTCTGATTTCCAACTCTATCCACTGTCACATCTCTCCATTAAAGGCACAAAAAAGCCCCCAAAAAATCTTGAAGTCACATTTTAAGGGGTGTCTCATGCTTGTCTCTTTTATTGTTCTGTTTGTTTGCCTAGTCCAAAGGTCATAGAACTCATTGTTAGACAGAGTTACTACATTTAGGACTGAAATTCTCTGTACACTGAACCCCCTGTCCTTTGTCCAACTCTGTATGAGAGCAACCTTTTCTGAAGACACTGAAAATCTTTCAAATGTATGTCAAACTCTTGTAAGTATCTCTTAACAGACAGCAAGGAGGGACACGTCACAGTTTAAATCAATGATGTCTATACAAAAGTGGAAGCAAAGTTTTTTCCCATTAGCACCAAGTACCGGACCAATGTGTTTAATTTTACAGAAAAAAAGAAATATAAACGTTGATGTCAATATATTTTCTTCTGTACAGCTTCTTGGATTTTTGTTCATTCTTTTGCCATCAATCAACACTTTTACCGAGCTCAGGACATTTCTTTCTGCACGCCCTCTTCGTGTATTTCCTTTAAAAATCAGTCCTGCAGATAGTTACTCACCTTCACGTCATGGTGGTCTTTTGCAGCAGCAGCTGTCTCTGAAGCATAACTCCATGTTGTGCAATAATTGTTACAGAAATAACTGCATCCCTGCTGCTGTCATCCTCGTTCAGTTGCACACAGTTAAGTGTTCCCACGGAGCGTCCTCTTCTCCTTCTCCCATCACCTGATTTATAATGTAATAAAGTCTCAGAGCTGGCTGGTCACGAGTTATAAATCAGTTTGTTTGTTTTTACCTTCAGCTAAAAAAAAAGAAAAAGTAAGAGACGCCTCAACTGCTTACTTTGACTTTAAACTGTTAAACATGGAGGTATCTTCTATATTTATTTTTTTATCATGTTCAGCTGGTATTTATCTATGATAAAACAATGAAAGCTGAAGATTGACAGGAAAGGTGTGGGAGAGATTGAGAACATTTCCATCATGCCACACTACAGGCTACTAAACTAACAGGAGTAGCTGTTTGCTCTTCATGTGGAGTATATCAAAAACATAATGGACAAATATATGTGCCTATTTAGACAGAAAAGATAAAACAATGCAGATGATTGAAACTATAAGGTTATTCTAAGTCGTCATTGATGGTGTACATGTTCCCTAGTATCCTATTATGGCAATGTTTGATGCCAGCATCATATCCTGGTTTCAGGATAAATCCTTATTCTGCCTTCTGAATATATCACCTGAGTGCTCTATTGTGGCACTTAATCGATCTCCTTACACAGGTTTATCTACACTCTTTAAAATCCAGAATGTGAGAAGGATAATGATAATAATTAACCTGGATAATGCCTTAATCATTCATGCAAAGTCTTAAATAACCAAGTTACACATCATTCATGCAAACCTCCACCCTGAATATGATCAAAACTAACAGAAAAAGGCTCAAACGTTGCACATGTGCACAACAACACACTAAGTGCAGAAGTTCATTTGTATTTGAAATAGATTCCTGAGAGTCTTCTATTTTTTGTGAGAAATCTCCCAGCAGTCCTCGTAACTTTGAATGATTATCACTGAGCGCTAAGCGACTGTAAACATTTAAGAAAGGGCCATTTGTTTTCTAATGTCTCATTATATTTAAAAAGATTAAATATTGCATGACCATACAGTTTCTGCAAGTCAGCAGGAGGCTGTGGCTTTTTCTTGTATGTTTGTTCTATTGACTGTATCGGGAGCATCATACTCAAAGCATTGCCTTTTTCATCATTAGCTTTACATGAGGGTTATTCATTATAGATTGCTACTCCATGACGAAAGAGTCACCAAAAAAAAAGAACATTTGTCCTTTAAACTATTATGTAATCGATGCTCAAGCACCAAAACCATCCTCTTTTTGTCTCCATTTGTTTGGTAACAACCCACATCTATATGTTTGTTCCTTTTGTTTTGAATTAAAAATACTGAAAGGATCAAAAAGCATTTATGTACTAAGCCACTTGAGCCATCTCCAACCACATAATAGTTAAAGCTGCACATGTTTGAAAGCATTATTACCAAAAAGAGCTATACAAGAGTGTGTTTCACTGAAAATTCTTTGTCATGGTGAATCAATTTCATGATTGTACTCTATTTGAAAATGCTCTGTGTAAAATCAGAGCGCATCACTGTGGAAACACCTCTCTGACTTTGATGAAATGAAGGGTCGACCAAACTGAACACAAATGAGCGCCCCACATAAATATTCTGTCTAAATATTCATGCATGTATTATCTACACACCTTTTCATCTGGCTCCAAGGTATAGTGTAAACATCTAGTTGGATGCTTCTGTTTCAGCCCTAGCAGTGCAGTCTTTGAATTCAGTTATACCTCTGCTGCAACATTAATATGACACGGTGTGCCTGGCTGTGAGCCCATAATGTGTCTTTAGGGATTCACTGAAATAATACTGTGTTCATGCTGATACTGCGAGCGAGGTATCGAGGGAGCCATGAACGAGCGAATAATTAACTCAGGGGCCAACCAAATAAGTCATATTCTGATCAATTATTCAGTATTTGCAGGCCACAGAATGCGCTCCCTGCTCATATTACAGGCAACACATTGAAACATTAGCATTTTATTGCTGTCCATTTTATTACCATGTTCGGTCATTTCCATGCGTGTGCTCACTGTGAGTTCAAGCTTATATGGTGTTGTCAAGAGCAGTATTAGGTCTGCTCATAGGTAATGAATTATTGCAAGACACTGGACAGTGAAGACAACCACAACTACTTTAAGACAAGGGACATCATTTTAACAAAACTACAAAATGTAAAGTAAGAAACCCATATCAAATGAATGAGCTTGGATGGTACGAGTCTTATTAAATATTGCAACATTTGGACAAAGGATAATACATAAAAGTTGATGCATGCCTATTTTAATGCTTAAAACGATGCAATATTCGTCTATTTTTGTGCAAACTGTGCAAACTCTACAATGTATATACTAACTTTAATTGTTTTACAACATTTTAAAAAGTTCCTAAAGAAGATAGCCTATTGACGCATCCAAATATCTCAGATGCAGGTGTGTTTTAAATTGTACCTGTATGTCTTAAAAAGGAAATAAATGTAAAGTATGCTCAATAAATTGTGATGTTAAGCAGGTTACACAGTTTGCAGAATGTTCTTTTTTTCAGGGTTTAAAATAATAATAACATATTTAGTTTTGTGTTTAGTTTGACCAAAACAGTCAAGTCAATTGTAATTATTCAGTCAAATTTCTTCCAATTGATTTTTATTCATACCAAGCCTAAATATTATTGAAGAAAACTTCCCCTAGGTGCTTTAAAGTAAAGGTGAAGATGACCTCAGTCCCAGGACTGACAAGAAATGGGAAGCGCATTTAGGGATACTAAATAGACAGAAATAACACAATACAGACAAAAAGAGAGTGACATGGGATAAATTGCATCTTTATTAACACAAAATACTCTGATCTTCTACAGTAAGATGTGCTGCCAAAAGAAGTCAGACCTGATTTACAAGATCTTATCTTCACTGAAGACAGACTACACAGATACACAAACACCAAAGTTCAAGACACAACAGACACAAAGATGGAAAAACAGAACAAGATCCAGGACATGTAAGATGACGCTCCATATGGTTTGAGAAACATATTCCATCAATCTAGATTCCATAAAAAGAAAAAAAATGTCTACAGTTTTTCTATTTGCATTAGACCTGGTTTTCATTATCCAGTAGAATTAGAGGAGCTATTTTACCCTGCTGACATTTTGCCTTGTCAAACACATGGTGTGACTAATACTATTAATAATGCTTCATGCCAGAGCTCTTGAAACATTTTTTTATTGGCACACTGTGGGCTGGAGTTGTCGTGTTATTTGTTCCACCTGTATATCCTCTGCCAAAACTATTCAACTTGGACAAGCTTTCGACAAAGCCTTTGTCTATGTGTCCATAGGCTATCCGAAAATAATCTTAATTTTAAATCAGCATAGTTAATAGATTCTACCTTGTAGGCTAACCTGTATTGTCCTGATGCAAAAAGTAGGACAAAGTAGAAAGTTCAAGAAAATACAAGTTCTAGTGCTTTGAAAACAAAACTTTGAAAACAGTAACAAGGGTGCTCTTTGTGGGCGCTGAACCTGACCTTAGACCTTCCACTGGGACTCAAGAAGAAAGGATGCTTTAACGTGGGCAATACAATTACTGGTCTTTACACGTTTTTTTTTTAAAAAGAACTAAAATCAACATTTGAAAACTTCATCTTAGCTACGGAGCTAACGCAGGAGGGGGGGGGGGGCAAGAGCTGAATCCCTTTTGTTACCATGGCGATAAGGACAGCGGTCGCCACTTGACAGGCGCATGGAGCGGGAGGACAGGAAGGGGGCGGCGGCGGTGGCGGTGGCGGTGGCGGCGGTGGTGGTGGTGGGGGCGTGGTTAGCGCGGGTCCTATTGATTGACAGAAGAAGAGGCGGGGACCAGCTATCATACTGGATTCCCATTGGTCGGCATTGCAGTCACGTTGCCAGTTCGGAATGCAAATGAAAAGAGTTGCTTTGGCCCACCCCTGCTCTGCTCTGTCGCTGCTGCTCTGCACTGACGGATACATGAGAGAGAGAGAGAATGGAGTAGAATAACAGGGAAAAACAGCAAGAGGAGCAAGGTTTACGTTAACGGTAAGGCGACGTCTTGTGTCCTTCTTGGGCACGCAAGTGTCACGTTTGGTACGAGGGGGGGTTTGTTTGTGTATGTGTGTGTTTGTGTGTGTCGGAACGCGTGAGGTGAGACGGGTCGCACTAGCTAACATCTTTCTCGGGGGCCCCACAACAACAACAACAACAGCAACAACAACAACAACATGTTTTCTTGTTTTGTTGCTTGCTTGCTAACAATGACGTTAGTTTTGATGGCGAAGTTCAGCCTGCAGACACTTAGTCAGCTTGATTAAAATGCAGAAGTACGAGCACGAATAACGCCAACCCAAGCAGTGCTAACGTTAGCCAAGTGTTGTAACGGAATTGAGTGCTCGTAAGTTATGAGGGAGAAAATCAGCTATGAATGAAAATCACTTGCATGTGCAACGCGTGATAATTTAGCAGCCTTCCTTTTTAGCTTTTTCAGCTTTTGTTTATCAACCTTAAAAAAAAAAGAATTGGAAGCTAAAGTTAGCCAGGTGCTCTCTTGGAAGAACTTTGATCCTCAGGTCATGACCTCTGGCACAGTGGAGCAGTCACTTATTTTGACATGTGTGTGGGTTCATCATAGAGGATGCCCCCCCCCCCCCCCCCCCAATGCTCCACTCCGGCTTAAGCGGTGACCCGAATATGGTCAAAATGTAAACATAGCAGTGGTTAAACGTCCACCATGCGTGCCTGTATCTAACCCAGTTCATGGTTTATCCACAGGGCATGGTTATGTGTGTTGACTGTCCTCACTTGGTCTGCAGTAACAGTTGTTTTATTTATCATTTTATCAGTCAATTGTTTACTTGTTGTACTCATATAGTCCATTTTAAAAGAAATCGAATGTCACTAAACAATTTTGGGAGTACAAAGCATCAAATTGACATTCTTGATTTGTCCTAGCATCCTTCATTAGTTGCTGATTTGATGTTTCATCTTTTTTTTTTTATAGCGTATATTTTGACTACCCAAGTTCAATTAATAGTAACAGTAAGTTTACCATCCCAAAACGAAAACGCACCTTAATAACACGTACCAAATTCTGCCGACAAAGTTAAACGAATACAGGGAGAATAAATACAAAATCAGGATACATCTTCAGGACTGAGCATGTTTCACTGAAACTATGTCTAAGGCGTTTTCACAGATGCAATCCTGTAATTTTCCAGACAATTTCAGAAGTGCACGAGGATGAGAACATTAGCCTTTATATCAATGCTTTATGTAGTCGAACAGAAGAGAGAACTCTGGATACATTTGGAGTACGAAGGTTGTCTGTTTGCCTTCACACATGCAGCTCCTATCAGGAGATTTTTTGCAAGTGTGAAAGTACGATCAGTCAGACTGCAGGTACTTGAAAGGAAAAAAAGAACTCATTTACCTATACCGCATACTATCTCTGAAGTGCATTTCCATAAGAACTTCAAAAGTATAAGAACACCTTTTTGTTTTGACCTAGCTTTGAAATGTAAACTTTGTTTCCATGGCTAGATATTCTAAAAGAGCCAACTAGAGGTGCATTAGTCCAATTTTCTCTTCTCTTGTGCCTTATATTGCACAAAAATAGGCCATCCTGCTTTAACTCACTTCTTATTGACCTCTGGATAAATGTCTTGTGAGTCTATTTAATAGGTATATCAGGTATACAGCCAATTTGGGCAGAGGGCATTCTCCTCTTTTTGTTTACAGGACAATGTTCATTTTAATATTCTTCAGATTAGATCACCTTAGCCTGTTGGGGCTGTAGCTCCTTGGGCTCCTATAATCGTTTCCTGCGATCACCAACTTCTTCTTATTACCTGGACTCTCGAGGGTCAGATCATGGCGGGTTCTTTGCTCATTCCAAGAATACAAATATGAGACTCAGGGAGAAATCTCAAATATGTTCCTCCAGTCTATGACTGGATTAATTACAATTCAATTCAATTCAATTCAATTTATTTTGTATAGCGTCAACTCATAACAAGTGTTATCTCAAGACACTTTACAGAAAGCAGGTAAAAGACCTTACTCTTTGTCTGTTAACATTACAAAAATCAGGTAAAAGACCTTACTCTTTGTCTGTTAACATTACAAAAATCAGGTAAAAGACCTTACTTATTGCTATGTTACAAAGACCCGGCCTATCCATCATGAGCACTTTAGCAAAGCAGCAAACGTTACAGTGGTAAGAAAAAACTGACTTATTAAAAGGCAGAAATCTTCAACCGGATCCCCGGCTCATGATGAAACAGCCTTCACAGGCCTAGACTACGCCGGGGTTGGAAAGGGATAGGGGGATGCTTCCTTCATCCAATTAATAGCATAGCAAGCTCTTATAATGGACTAGAGGGACTCCTTTTAATCCTAGAATCACACAACCTGGGAAAATGAGCAGAACAATTTCTTACACCCCTGTCCTAGCACTTTTAGCACATTTCTAGCACATTTAGTCAAATGAATATGTGATTGCTATTTATTTACGAGTTATGAACATTCTGATATGTTTATTCCACAAGAGAGTGAGAGCCACACATCTTTGTCATGTTATTTTTAAGCCATCATTTACATGAGAGATGCTCCCACATATAGACCCACTTTACATTAACTTGCTTGTTGTAACACATCTATTAGCGATGCATTGTGATCCCTCACAGAGAGGCTTTTTGTGTTCACTTTGCAGAAACGGATGGACTGATCTTTTTTTTTGTCTTTTGTAAAAGCAGCATTCCTGGTCATGTTTTCTTTGGCAGGATACGCAGCAGCCTCTGCTGTTTTGACATATGCATTGCTGAAAATGTCACTTTTACCTTTCACTTGCCCTCACAGCAGGAGACTATCCCTGTAGTAAGGATGGGGGGGGTCCTGCAGGAGGAAAGACATGACTCAAAATTCACGCTGAGAAAGTGAAAGGGGATGATAACATTTTATGGTGCGCTAATAAAAAAAAAAAAAAAACTGCTGTGAGAATTGACTGGAGCAGAATTGCCCTTTGTTGCATCAAAAGCTTGTTGTCACCCGTCGACAATCAGCGTGACACAGAGGAGCTCTTCAAAGATCCACCTGCTAAAAACACAGCACAACAAAGATGTTTTGAAATGTTTAGCTTGATCAAATGTCCCGGGGTGAAATAATCGGAGTCAGTGTTTATCCCATCAAGTCATTGCAGACACCTGGAATACGTGGTGTTTATATAAAAAAAAAAAAAAACAGGTAACACAGTAGAGATTTAAGTCTTATTCAAACAGCACATGTAAAAAAATTCCATTGGTGGAAACGAGAGTGAGTCAGCGATGTGTTTCACTAGAATAGAAAACATCAACTAAAAAGACCATTTATTTTTTGAATCATGTTTTCAAAGGATGTGGTTTAATTGAGATACACATATGACTGAAATGCTAACATGTCCTTTTGGCTCATTTAATGCTTGTCTATATTACTGTAAATATATTTATTAGTTTTTCAGTTCCTCAGTTTTTCCTTCTCCATACATATAGAGATATTCTTAAGAATTACATCTATGTAGATAGCTGAAATAATTTCCCCTCCTTCTTGGAAACAGTACGTCTCTTTTGACCCAGAAGCCTCTCTGTTGTCCTTGAACGAACTCTAGATGTCTGGCTGGTCCTCTGCTGGCTCTGATAGAAAATGAAAAAGCTTGTTTCCAGCAGAGCCCTACATTTTTCTGTGCTGCTGCTGCTCATCTGGGCTCATACCTGACCTATTTTTTTCCCCATCTTGGTGTGATTGACGCCTGAGAGTGATTCCTCAGAGACAGATTTGATTGAAAGTCTGGTTTGAAGCCGGTTTCTAATCTGTTAGCTTTGCAAGAATTGTTGAACTATGGTATTTATAGATCGGAGGGGGATTCTTTGGTTTGCCCGTCAGTTAGCTGCCTGCTTTCAGTTTCTCTCTCTTTCTTCTTTCCTGTCTGCTTCCCTGTTTGTTTTTTTTGTTTTTTTAGAGTTATTACAGTCTGAGTGATTTTTAGCATCACATGGAACAAGCTACACTTTCAAGGCTATAGGGGCCTTGCTAAATGTGGACAAACAAAAGACGGCCACAGCCTGCAGGGCAGGATCAAGTGAAAGTGTTTTGTGTCTTCACAGCATGAGCCTATGTGCACTGGAATGGTACACACGCTCAGCACACTTAACCTGGAAAGCAGCCAGAGTGTCTTTGTGCTGGTCTACTCAGCTGTGGGAGGCAGAGTCCGTCTGAGTCAGATGTCTCAATTACAGCTACTCGACCAATCTCTCCTCTGGATCAGAGAGTATCTCTGTCTTACACACGCTAACAAAGGCAGTGGTCTGCTTGCTCTGTTTGGACAAGACTCATCAACCATTATCGTCCTCAAGGGATGACCTCTGCATCGTAGAGGAAGTGCTGCTTTGTAGAGCAAACGATGTTGGGGCTGACTTTCACAGTCAGGGTTCACAGGGCAGGCCTCATGCTCTATAATGAATTAACCAGCGTACGGGTGACATGCCCTGCTGTCTGTTAAGATTTTGATAGTTTGACAACTTTTCCTCACTTGTCGGTGCGTCTAAGGATTATTTAAATGGATTAATCCAGCAAGTATTCATGTTTAAAGTGATAGGAGGAGTGCCCTCAAGAGTATAGCTTCAACACTATGGAACAGGTCAGTCAAAAGAGAGAAAATTAGTTAGTTTTGATATCATATCAGTCATTTTTTCCAAGTTAAAACTTCAAACATTTACTAGTCTCAGCTTCTTAAATGTGAAAATGTGTTGCTCTTCTTTGTGCATTTTGTTTAAGAATCTATAGGTTTTAAGCAACTATTTGAAAAGAGGCAACAAATGTTTAAATGAGTAAATAGTTGCCCTATTAATTTTTTTTTATAATAATGTATTACCAACCTTGTTTTGCATGAAAACAAATTATACAACAGCAGCACCCTCACCCTTTGAGGCAAGTGCCACTGATTGTGAATTAAAATGATTGAATATATTGTTTGGCACCCTTAGGGCATGGCTGGTTTTCCATTTTGCATG